TCAGCAGCAGAAGACGACTCAGGGGTGGACTCAGCGGTCGAAGACGACTCAATCGTGGAGGACGACTCAATTGCAGATGAGGATGAGGTTGGCAAGGGGGCTTCGACAGTCAGAGTGCATGCCCCACAGACGGCAGGAATCGGGTTAGGAGGGGGAGCATTGTAGACAATAGCGTTGTTAAGTGGCGCCGAGAGGCCGGGGAAAAGGTGTGCCTTTGTCTCGAAGTTAGAATTAACGTAGCCAGGACCGATGAGGAATCGTTGCGGGAGAGTGTTAAATGGGCCTGAGTAAAGCGTCAAGACACCAGTCCCCGCGTTGTAATTCCAACTTAAGATCGGCCCCGTGAGCCCAATGAAGTTACCATTACCAAAACCAGCCACAGTATAAGTCTGACTAGCAGTCACCAAAAGTGCCAACAATTCAGCATTGGGACCGTCCATGTAGAACACTTGAGTGGTGTCAATAGGCGACGTAGGAAGGTTCAACTGAGCTAAGGAGTTGCCGATAATGTGCCAACAACCAGTACCTCTAATGTTACCAGTCTGGAGCCAGATCTGGTTGTAAAGACAAATGTCACCATTATTGTTCAAGTTACCAAGCGGAGGACCGAGCACGACAGCGCCGGTGGACCGGGACTCTTGGTAAATCAGGATGAGACCGTTGTTGTTCCAAGAAGCCGAGGTAATCGATTGAACAGCCGGGAGTAACGACCCTTGGGAAGCAAAGTAAAGCTGGCCGTTATTGGTGAACGACGCCCCAACAAGGTTATAAGTTGGCGCAGTTGCCGACAACACAGAGTTGAAGGATATGATACCATCATTTTTGATAGTGTTGATGGCTCCCAACAAGGTAACGGACAACGCAAGCAATGGCTGGCTGGATGAGATGTAGAAGCCACCCCCAGCACCGACAGTTAAACCGCCGACAATGGCACTGACAGCATTATTCCAAATGGAATACTTGACTCCCGGGTTGATAATAATATCCCCAACAGACAAGTCGATCGTGCCATCGACTGTTGTATCTTGAGTGATCGTTAAACCCGCCACGCTAGATGCGCCCAATAAGGCGGTAACACACGAGCGGAGTTTCATGGGGTGATGACGGCATGTTTAGGAACAGAGACGTCTTTATATCTGAAACTTCAGCCCCACTTAGATGCATGGTGCCAAAATAAGGTGGGGGGAAGTGGCGCTTCACTTGCACCCGAAGGAAACCTTTGTCTTTGTTAGAATTCGGCGGCAGGGTTGCGACGAGTCTGCATCATGGCGGGAGAATAATAACGTCGTTTCGCGAAAGTCTGTTGGGGGAAAAAATATCCGTAGTCGGCGATCGACCAATTGACTATATGTAGTATACGAGACTAATAGCGGGGTCGCACTTTATCAAGGCAGGAACGTAACCCACACCAAGTTTATTCGAGAATGATATTGATTCAAAATGAGAAAGATGGTGATGTCATTTACAGCAACAATGTACGGCGTCTTCGTCATGGCGGATTCCGCCGGGAGTTGCTTTACGGGGCGAGACCATTGAGCATCGTGAGGCCTATTGTTCTGAGGTGCATAAACATAGATGAAAGGGTTTATTGTGTGATATGTACGTCTAAAAAATTAACACGAACCTTCGCAACAGCGAAAGATCCATGACTTTACAAAAGTCTGGTCTTATTGGTTAAAGCTTACAAAGCTAAGCCGGGTTCATCGGTAGTACTTATGGTCAAGGTGGAATTTCTCAAAGGAGGTGCCTGACCAGCGGTTATGATTACGCCTTTAACATCACCATAGGTGCTGAGGATGAAAATCTAACATCAATCTACTTGAGAAAGACAACACATAAATGTGGGGGCTGAAGTTTGTATCACAAATATACCGTAGAACACAACGTGGTTGTGTTTACTGTCGTGCAACGCTGTGATGAAGGACAAATCGCGGTGGTCTCGACCAGGGCCAGGGCTGCGTATTTGTGGGGTCACTAAAGACACAATCACGTGAGCTCGGGTTCGTAACGAACAATAGGACCAACAGTTTCAGCACAAACGAACAATAGCTTCAACAAGACTAGCGCAACTACACAATGCGGTTATCGCGTAAATTTTAGTCAAACTGCTACCGTGCTGAGCATGGTAGCAAGCAGCCTGGTCCTCAAGCAAACTTGTTACCCATTCTCTCCTCCCTACTCGTTCTCAAAGGTACTTTCACGGCATTTGCGAAGAAAATTTCCTTCGCTATTAAAGGCTAAATTTCAAAATGAGGCTTGTATGGAAAGTGTAGATGTCGTTGACGACATGATATTTGCGGGGTTCCATTCGGTCAGAAACCAATGGATTATCGCGATTCTTGAGCCATGGACCATCCATAGGATAGACAAGTAAATCGCCCGTGAACCTGTGGTATTCATTTCCGCTAATTGATCCCAGATGTCTCAGTTATCGTCACTGTCTACGTTGTTGTCGGTGCGGTGAAACTAAGGGATGGATCGCCTTACAATGGGAATGCCAAGCCACCGATGAAAATTTTCTCGTATCCCCGTAGTTGTAGAACTATAGGAAGAGATATTTGCAAATCATGAAGGTTTTTAGATGTATCCTGACCCACTATCACTTAGCAACTACTACGACCCTTCCAGTCAATTACAATTTTGGTGTAGCGTTCAAAAGTCCCACTGATAGCACAAGCGAGCGGGTTAAAGTTGAAAAGTAATGACCGCTTTGTCAGCATTTTCCCGACAAAATATTGGGCAGATTCATGTACAGCAACAATCGCTCTATCGCCATAATACGAGAGTTTGTAACTACTACCATGATGAAGCGTGTTCTACTTGGATTTTCTACTATTATGATTCCCAGTATTCGCTCAGAGCGAGAGTCCGATTGTCTCGGGACCTTCACGGGCAAGATTGTTGTATTTTGCAACCTGCTGATCATGTGGTTTACGGCAGTGTAGTCAGCATTACTGCATCATAATCCTACGTTGCAAAAACCATTGGTAAACGTACGATAAATGAAAAACGTGGTTTACCTATAAGCAAACACACTTTCGGTTTCAATTGGGTAATAGATACGCAATATTTTGTTAGGTTAAGATTGAAGGGTCGGCTTGAGTCCACTCGTTTTTGAATGTCCACTAATTAAACGTCCCTTCATTCTTATTTGGATTCCATTCTATATTAGTTGTGACGATGATTCGCGAAACAAGGGCGGTTCCACCAAGCATTAGAGTTGGATGCACCCCATGCAGAGACCTGCAGGTTTAGGTGCGTCACAGAAAGGATCACAACCACAAAGCTGAGGAAGTATTATCGGGATCTTTCACAAGTAGTGTCGGCATGATATACATAAATTGTTGCCCAACATTAGCTTAAAGAGACCATTAAGAATTATCAAAAGTAGACAACAATGAAGGCTTTGAGTTTTGCATGATAAACATTCTTATCAATCTCCAAGGCAAATAAACTCTTTAACTTCAAATATAGAGGCTCGTGACGCGCATCAACAATGTATTATAAATCTTGCAGGTTGTCGGCCATTCCCGTGGGATTTGAACATTACGAAGCACTCAGGTTAACCCACTTGTAGCGAAAAGTTTCCATGGAAATCTGGCAATAGACTTATCCCGTTTTTATAGTCGGTTTGCCCCTGCTATACTCGATGAATGGTGTTGGGTTGATCGTACTTGCAGCATCGCAATTCAGATGAATCTTGGATGCCGTGACCCAGGATAATTATTTTTTACCCGCCTTCGAGCCACTTCAAAGCCCCCTCAGACAGCTGAAAAAGTATTCTTTACCATATTCAAGTAAGTCTTAGGCTAATGGTAGATGACTACCACCAAAATACAAGAGAACGTGTTATAACAATCATCTAATTAACAGGCTCCCGTAAAAGTTGTACAAAAATTATTGTGTACTGAGGGGGGTGCATTTGTTAGTTATTGTGTATGCGATTACAGGCATTGTATCCAGGGATTGCAATATGACAAAAGTGGTCTCGAAAGGTGTACCAAAAACTCCCCAACCACCCCTTGCACTCTCGTCTCTCCTTAGTTCTAAATATATCATTTCTCCTTACGCAAATGACAAGTCTGTTCTAGACACTACCATTGCTCAATTTCATTAGGGTGTAAGGAGTGTCTCCCCTCCCGGCACGTGACTTGACTGACACCGGCTTCTTCTATACATGCTGAGGGGTGGTCTGCATCTGAACACTTTCGCTTACTCCATACGGAACAGCAATCCCGTAATGCCTTTTAATGGACTACGGGTGATTCGGACTCTGATCCACCATTTTACTTTTGGCCTTGAGAGCGATCAAAAGATACATCTACTCTGTGAAGTGACTATAATCGATTCGCACACGGAACATTCGAACACATGATATAATTAACGATATACTCAGCTTCGGAATAGCGGGAAACTTCAAAAAGTCATCTGTCTTTGTTGTAGTTATGGATTAGATGTGAATTTCTATACCTTGTCTCTAGTGTGTTTGGCTCCTTCCCAAATTCGTTTCTGATTTGCGTCGGTTTGTTCAGGAGTATCACTGAATGTTAAGTCGCACGGTTCGAGTCTTGCCAAAATTTCACAATAATTTGATATTCACGTATAAATATAAACACGCTGTGCAATTGTTACGATGAAGATACCTTATTCTTTCCAATATATGATCAATTCTTCAATTTAAGCAAATCAACTTCCGTGTAGGTGAGAGGTGGACTGTTCATTGAGTTGCAAAGAAATAAAGGATGAAATTGGAGGCCTCGCACACAAGTCTACGAAACACTGCCACTGATGCAACGTCATGTTCAGCGTAGTTTATGGCATATTGATTAAAACGTTCAGCATGATTCCGTTGTTTCGAATTGATGAAGCTTCTCGAATTTCGTCAAAAGCAAATCTCACTTGATTAGCAAGACTTCGATCACGTTCGATCGACTTGTATATTACCATGTTTTTAACGTGATGGAGTCAAATGTCAGATACGATGAGTGCTCATGAAGACGCTTTATTGCTTTGTAATTAGATGGAGAATAACGATGCCAAACGAGTCTTCCACAACATGAGTAGATGTTGGTGCCGCGGGAAATTGCGTGTCATTTAGGCGAGCTACTTGGCGCAATGTCGTTAGATTTCAGTTTGTTGTTGATTTCGTTGGCTCGCAAATGTTTGTGAACTCGAGCGTGAGTGTGACCACTAAGACTGTACCTGCAGGCGAAAGTTAGCTAGCGATCTAACGACATCGTCGATTCTAATGGTACATTTGCTGGATGCCAATATAACTGTTGCAAAACGCGTATCAACTACCCATATCGCCTCGAGTGAGTTCTATTGTGTGCGCGTAGAGTCCTAACTGAGGCTAGGTTGTCTGGGTAACCGAGAGCGTTGCGGATCAAATGTGGCTAGTGCCACTTTTGGAGGGATGGTCACTGAAGAAACCCAGACTTCACAAGATTGCTATGTTAAGGATATGTCCCAAATTGGTAGAGCGCTGCGAAGGATGTCGCAACCACGGAAAAGGGTGTCATCCAACATGGAATCTAAGATGACGACGACGAAGGGGAGCTAGAGCTCCGGTAGTTGGTGGGTGCCCCTTTTCCGACAACACTGGCGAGCCACGTGTGGCTAGGCAAGCGTCATCTCTTGTTGACGATTGAGTGACCCTCCAATATAAACTTGCTCTCACGGTAATGAGGTGATTGCGATTATCGGTGGTGCAAAACCGATCTAGTTGCCGCAGCCGTTTATGGCGAATGAACCTCACACGAACGAGAGACGGTGACGGTCGACGAGAAGGGGGGTTTTAAGTGGCTTATTTGTAAACTAAATATTTAGTCTTCTAAGGCAAAGAATTACATTTGCTTTGGAGCGCAAACGACATCCCGGGGTGGCTTCCCCGTTGTGCCACTTGCTCCCGTTGCCTTTTTCTCCAGCCTCAAGATTGCCATGTGCGACGTTGACATTGGGCGCGGGCTGCATATATGAAAATTGCGCCTTAGGCAGCAGCTGGCGAAGAGTGGCTCTACTGCGATCGGACTAACGATTGCGGAATGGACTACAACCCATGGTTTTACTTATTCACATTGGTGCTGGCAACCACGGGTCTCTGCGAAAACAACAATACCGAAAGCTAATTCAGCAGGCGCTTTTGCTGGGGCTGGCAATGGCCGCCCTGGAGATCCTTGAGAGGCTGGAGTTTACCAACACCGGCTACGGCAGCTCCCTCAATTTGAACGGCGCCGTCGAATGCGACGCCTCCTTCATCATGAGCCTGGTCCCGTTATCCAATCATCAGACCCCGGCGGTGGGCACCCCCAGCGACGTCTTTCTCGATAGCGTTAGCGTCGACCCCCTCGACCGCAACTCGTCCCGCCTGCCCCTGCTGGTACTGCTTGCCAGTCCCGACGGCTTGCTCGTCAATGAGCGGAAGCTCTACCCTACTAAACGTCTTCGATTGGATAGCATGGCGTCGGCCCGAGTTCCCGTGGTGGAGGACTCGCTTCGCGTGGCGGGGTTGCGGTCGCCTCCCCAAAGAGGTACGGTGGTGGGGATCCACGATAGCGCTACTCCCATCACCACTGCCGTCAAAGTGTTTGAAGGGATATCGCAATTGTACGACGACCGCAATTTCCGTCGTTACGGCATCACGGTCCCGTTACTGATTAATTACCGCTGCATCGAGCCCGACGACCCGTACTTCGCTGATTTGCCTCGCCTGGACCCCAAGTCGCTCATCCTGCCGCCGGCGCAACAGTTCTACGACTTGGTGTGCTCGCGGTTGGCCGTGGGTGGCTCACCTCCGAAAGCTGATGCCCAAGTGCTCGACACCATTGGCCTTGCCGAAATCACTCCCTTGGAAACAACGGTGCTCACTCTGTCTGGGGGTAACTTCTTTAAGCTTCCCGGGCGCATTGGCTGCGCCGGCGAGGTTGGCGGCGCCGTCGACTTATTTCACCAAAACGACTATGAGGTGGCGTGCATGTGTCTGGGCAACGGCGAGGATATCATGACGATGAAGCTCTCCCACGAGATCGTCCGCCAAGTGGGGAAACACCCCGAGGACTCGTACCCTGAAGATATTGTGCACATCATTGAGGACCTCCGCGAAGGGTTCAATCTCCAGGCAGTGAACACCAAGCTGGAAACCATCGTGTACGTCGGCGTCGTCGTCACCATCCACAACCTCACCACGGGCGAGGTGCGCATCCTCTACTGCCACCTGACGGAGTCGTTTTACTTCGGGTTCCACAACCACGGCGACGACAAGCCCCACGTCGTCTTGAGCAAGTTGGACGACTTCGACATGGCGGGCAAGCTGTGGACGTACGGCGAGTTTAAATGCTTGGACCTGTGCTTCACAAAGTTGTCGCTGGCGAGTGATACGAGCCTGCGGTAGCGGTAATCCGAGGCCACGGACACTGTCCGCGGCGATTTTGTCGTTAGTGTCGCCAGCAACCAGGGGTGGGCCCCTAACAAAGCTTGCTCGGCGTCATCTCAGCATTCCGATGAGTATACTCATATCTATTGGTTTGAATTTTTGCAATACACTGTATACCCCAGTACGTGGGATTCCGCCAAAGTTGGACTGCATTGGTCACGAATCCCCTTTCATATTATACATATATTTGATACAGTACACGACACTCACCAGCCCCCAGTAGACGGTAGTGTTCGACTGATAGATGTAATGATTTATCGGGATCGGACGCCACCACTAGCCTTAGTTTTCTCGATTGGTTGACTGTACAACTCCTTGAATTTACGTTAATTGTTGATATCATTTTTTGCCAGCGCACGACCAGAGAGGCCCATAGCGGAAGCAATTTAGTCTAGACTACGACGTAACGACCTCACCTACAAAAAGACGGCACAGATCATCAACCAGCCTATTACATTTTACCCATTAAATATACAATCTTTAACTATTCATGGACTTAACGAGAGGTGGCGTGGACCTTTTGGAAAGCACCCTTTTGGTTCATCTTCGAGACCTTGCCGGCGGCGCCCGAGGCTTGAGCTTCGGCTTGGGCGGCCTTTCTGGCGGCCTTTCTAGCCTTCTTGGCTTCCTTGTCCTTTTCAGCCTTGGCTTCTCTGGCGGCCTTTCTGTCTTGGGGCTTTTGCGATCTTCTTTCCTTGATCAATTCAACCGAGGCACCGACGATGGCTCTTTGGTGCTTGACGGTCTTTCTGGTTCTTCTCTTGGAGGTTTCTTCCGAGATACCCTTCTTGTGGGCTCTTCTGTACAACACGGTCCACGAGATTCTTCTGGGGTTCTTTCTTTGGTGGAACAACAGGGCCGACTTCGACGACTGGAATCTGAACACCTTCGAGTCCCCTCTCACGAAGAGGGTACCTCTACCGGGGTAGATCTTGGTACCAGAAAAGGAGTCAATTTCAACCTTCATCTAAAACAAGTTAGTGACACGTCTTTAACGGTGGGGGTCAGGGCCAAAGGTTCGGTACCTACCTTTTTCTATGATGCCTATTCTGGCGGGAGTTTTTTTTTCACTGACCCGGCGTCGCGGGGCGTGGCGGTCGCGGGTCGTCAACCCTAACCCACGTGACAAACTTTGACAGTTATTGTGCAGGAGGTGATAGCGTCCTGGCGCGCGCAGCCTGGCCCCTCCTGCTCGCAGAGGTTAAAAAGTTTCACCACCAAGCTCTTCGTAAAAGACCGGAGTGAATATACACAGAGATGGTCAGTATCATTTCCTAAAAAGCAGGCACGGTATGCTAGAGACCTTGAGTTGGTTTGGCTTCTGTTTTGCTGAATTTTGTCATCCCGACAACGAAACTAACCTTTAGGCCCCCAAGTCGAAGACTCAAGAAAACATCAACGCCAAGCTCGGTTTGGTTATCAAGTCGGGTAAGTACACCCTTGGTTACAAGTCGGTTGTCAAGTCGTTGAGAACTGGCAAGGCCAAGGTGGTCATCATCGCCGGTAACACCCCCGTGTTGAGAAAGTCCGAATTGGAATACTACGCCATGTTGTCGAAGACCCCCGTCTACTACTTCCAAGGCGGCAACAACGAGTTGGGTACCGTGTGCGGTAAGTTGTTCAGAGTCGGCACCTTGTCTGTCTTGGACGCCGGTGACTCGGACATCTTGGAAGCTATCTAAATGCTTTGTTAATATTAATTGTATAATAGACAGCCTTTCTCCAATATCGCTTATGTAGACAACTGAGACTCAAGCCGCGCAATCTCGTGCTGGAGGTCCTGCTCCAACTTGTCGACAGCACTGGCTGTAAGAGTATTATCGATTTCAATGATACCGCTACCACCACCACTTTGAAGGCCATTAATCTCCTCAACGAGCTCATTGATCCGTTGCTGGCGCCGTTGCCACAGCTCGATCTCTTCATCAGCATCGTGGTACGATTGTCCCTCCCGGTCTAGCCACGCGAGTACCCGCTCACAATCTCTATCTGCATCACCCAGAGGATATAGCGCCGCCTTAGTCCCATGATAATCAATTTCGACGGCGGCTCGGTCAATCTCTGCTGGTAACACTATAGGATCGGTCTTAATATTATGTTGGTTTTTAACCAACAGAATGCCATCGTCACGGACAAGTTCAGCGTAGCGTCCGTCTTTAGTTTCAAGATGATAAAGCCCCCGTTCGTCGTGATGGGGGTCCCGTATCAATTGCGTGATCAGCCGTCGTTTGCACACCGAGTTGGTAAACATCCCCGCTGGTTTCAAGTGGGCTGATATCATGAGCTGATGCAGTTTATTAATCAGGTCGACAAACGCCTGCGACGACGTCCTCGTTGTATCAGCCGTGACCATCTTTGATTGGCGTCAGCGTATATGTTTAGTACTAATAAACACAGATTCCATACTAGCCATTTCGCGCGTAGGTTCCAATTCCCGGGGCTCATACCCAGACATCTCACACACACTATAGATTGAGGATTAGTTAAAGCGCCGCCAATGCTTGACCTCGACCAATACATACGTCCCGGTAGGGACTACTACCTCGCTTTGGGCATGGAGGGGCTGGCCAACAAGTTGGGTATCGGCGTGATCAAGCACCACCGGGGCCCGCTTCTGGACACCAACCGGGCCGAGGTGCTTTCCAATGTCCGTGACACTTATATGACGCCGCCTGGAGAAGGGTTTTTGCCTCGAGATACAGCTAGACACCACCGCAACTGGGTGGTACGGGTGATGAAGCTGGCCCTCGCCGAAGCCGGCGTCAGTGGCGACGAGTTGGACGTCATTTGCTATACCCAAGGTCCAGGGATGGGGGGGCCTCTTCAGAGTGTGGTGATCGCTGCCCGTACCTTGAGTCAGTTATGGGATCTCCCGTTGGTAGGAGTTAATCATTGTGTTGGCCACATCGAAATGGGACGAGAAATCACCGGTGCCAATAACCCAGTGGTGCTTTATGTCAGTGGTGGGAACACTCAGGTGATCGCTTACTCGCGTCAACGGTATCGTATATTCGGGGAAACTCTAGATATCGCCATTGGTAACTGTTTGGATCGATTTGCTCGTGTTCTTCATATCCCTAATGACCCGTTCCCTGGTTACAATATTGAGCAGATGGCGAAGAAGGGGAAACATTTGGTCCATTTGCCGTATACAGTGAAGGGGATGGACTTGTCCATGCTGGGGGTGTTGGCATATATCGAGGGCCTCGCCAAGGAGCTTGCCACTGACGACGATGACGACACTAGTAACGAAGCTAAGCCCAAGCGGCAAAAGAAGAAAGTGTTACGTGACGAGGAGACAGGCGAAGTGATCACCCGTGAAGACTTGTGCTACTCGTTGCAGGAAGTGTTATTCCTGATGCTTGTCGAGATCACCGAACGTGCGCTTGCTCATGTCGACTCTAATCAAGTGCTTATCGTCGGTGGTGTTGGCTCAAACGAAAGGTTACAGGAAATGATGAAGTTGATGATTGAAGACCGTAAAAACGGTCAAATCTTCGCCACTGATGAACGGTTCTGTATTGACAACGGTATCATGATTGCCCACGCTGGGCTTTTAGCTTATCGTATGGGAGAAAAGCAAAAGTTATCTGAAACGGTTTGCTCTCAACGGTTCAGAACTGATGAGGTGTTTGTTGCATGGAGAGATGATTAAATATACATTTTATTTCGCAAACGTTATTCATGACTATGCGGCTGATATCCAGAATACGGGTTAGGCTGATCGTCAAATATCAACAGAATTTTACAGGCTTCAATTGGGGAATCCACTCTTCTGGAGTCAGATACGGTTCTAACACATATCGACACTCGTAGAAATTTCTGTAGGCAACCAGCCGAGCCTGAGGATGCCTTGATCATTCCTCGAACATTATCTTCGTTGCTTAACTATCGAGTCTTGGATGCTTTAATGTCTCTGACTTTTAATGATAAAGGAAAACAAGGCAACAAAATGGATCAGTTTCGTCATGTTATATGAAAGTCATGACAACGTGATGATTCATCTGATCCTTGGTTTCATACGGCAGCATTCTCGAAGTAAACTAGCCGTTTTGCGGTGTTTCGAGCCATCCCATTTCGTAGCTGATTTCCGGTAATCGTGCTGAGCCGCGTCGTAGGCACCGTCACTCAGACGAAAGGTCACGACGGCAGCACGATACACACCGTCAGACTCACCTAGGCGAACGTCATCTACTTCACCGAATACCGCCATCATTTCCGAGATCACGCCCTCGTCAATTACCACCCCTTGTCGCTCTTTCCACCGAAGCATCACTCGTTCGGGATGGTACTCGATATAATCGTGTTCTAAAGGAATATCACGCCACGAAGTGTATTCAAACACCGGTTGCTGCGCTAGCTTTCTCCGCTTAAGCGTCTGCTCCGTCAATTCTCGCTCAAAACGTTTGACATCCTGCTGCCAAAGGGTTTGTCTCGCCTGTTGGTGCTTTTGTTCAGCACGCTTAACTTGATCGTAGAACCGTCGCGTGGCATCATCCCAAGCCTGCTTCTGGGCATGTTTCCGGCTTTGAGTTTCCTTTAACTTGATGTATTGTTGTCTTAAAGTAGGATCGCTTAACACCTCATAGGCCTGGTTGATCTGACGAAAGCGGTCAGCATCGCCTCCAGGCTTATCGGGATGCCATCTGAGGGCTAGCCGGCGGTAGCTCTTCTTGATGTCAGCCTCTGCGGTGGTGGCATCGACCTCAAGAAGCGTGAATATATCCTCCTTGCCGTGCAAGAGGTCCATATATATAAAGTGCGGCTGGTCGAGCTAGCGAACTATGATGTAAGAGAAAATTCATACACGAGACTTTTTCGTTGTATATTTTACACGTATGGGCGAGAATGCCTATGTTCTATAAGATGTGGTTCCAAAAGATGCCCAGCAATTTATGGAGAAACCTTTAAGCTTCAACAACTCTAACCCCGGCGTTCGATCTGAAAATGGCATCACCTTCCGAGTAGCCTCTGCCGAGACCGAAACCAACACCAACCCACACGGGCCAGGCTCTTCTTCTGAAAAGCAACACCGAGGCCAAAACACCGGCACCGAAGCCCAAGCCGGTCTTGATCAAAGCGTTGGACAACACCACGTCCCACTTGTCGTTCAACAAGTTCTTCGAGGTGGTGGGCACAATGACCTTTTCTTCGACGATTTCAGCCATCCTGACGGTTAGTGAATGCTCCTCTCACTCACGAGATCCCCCACTTAAATTATCCGATTGTGCAAGAGTCAATCAATTAAGTTTGGATCAGGTTCTCATTGTTGATACTTACTTTTGATACTGAGGTGAACACTTTTAAAAAATGATTTTGGTTGGACGACAAAGCGCGAATCTCGGATGAGGCGAGAATCCAAAGAGCAAGTGGTCTTAAACTAGTACAATGGTCTAGAAATATCGTTAGAGCTATCTAAATGGTGAATTAAACCAAACTGTCATCAACGAGCTAAGCTTTCGTGTCTACTTTCAAGAAGAAGAGAAAATTTTTTACCAAGCGCCACAAGCAAGCAATAAACCTAGAAGAGCAAGGACCACCTAGTATCATACTCCACAATTGTCAACTGCGTTTGGTACTTCTCAACGTGGACAAATATACACCCGTTGGTCTTACTCAACCCTAGCTCTTCACTACCTGCATTACCTGCAGTTCCTACTATATAAACCCGCGAGATGCGAAGTGAAAAAACTCAGCGATATTTTGTTCAAACGGTAAGTTTTCCTTGTTGATGATGAAAACCTAACTCAGCTCACTCAGAGCTCTGCAATGCTGATAAACAGTTCCTATCCAACAATCATCAATTTCTGATCTAACAAGTAACTAACAAACTAGCGCCTGATTTCTAACAGAGGACTCTTTGGCCTTAAGGTTTCAATTTCCGGCGTCATGGGGACTAAGAAATACGTCTGCTTGCCGGAACCTGTTGTCGCTCCGGCCTCTTTGACTTGAGAATGTTTCTTGATCTCCTTTAAATATGTCGTAGACGTAAAATTGTCGAGCATCACATCGGGGCCCATCATGACCCAGCCTCGCCGCATCTTCACGTGGCGGTCGCTACCCACCGGCGTGGGTATGATGTGAAGCCGGCGAGTGGAGTTGCTGAAGTTTTCGATGAGTTTGTAGATGGCTTCAGGTACGCAACCACCTTCAAAGGTCAGCTCAATCTGTAAATCAGTGTCGACATTACAATGAATCAAGTGGTGGTGATCCCTCCGCCTGACTGTACCGGTGATACACATCCAGCAATGCCAATGGGTGTGTTGGAGAGTGTTATCGGATGACAAGTTCTCAAAATGAGGATAATAAGGCAGCAGTTGATTCAACGGTAAAAACGCTAATTCCTCCAGCCGTCGAAACTTACCGGCAAAGTTTGGTTGTTGTAACACTTTGGTGAGAGTCTCGATTTGCTTCGTTGTAGCCCAAACGAAGAAATAGCCCGGTCTAGCCAAAAGACGGGCAACGGGGAGGGTTTGTAGTAAAGTTTCAATGAAGTGGTTTTCAACAAGAGCCCCTACCATCACCACATCAAACTTGACCTCTTCCAGAACCCAACGATTGAGCGTAGGTACGATGTCCTCTGTCAGTACTCGAGCCCCGAAACTTTTGGTGGCATACTGGTCAACTTGTTTTTGTTTCAAGATTTTGAGTTGCTCAAGCTTAGGATAGGATTTCTCAGGCTTCTCCAAATTGGTGATATAAGAGATTGGAGGCTCACCAGTGCGGATGTAGTTGTTGGCGTAATCGTTTAGATGAGACATTTTGTTACCGAGGCCTGAGATTATTCTCTGGAAATTGATCGAAGTAGTTGAATTACGACGGTGGGCGATGGCATTGCCGACTTTTTGTGTGCCTCACAAACTGGAAACGGAAACTGAAACATATCTAGCATGAGGTGGTGAGGGGGGTGCATAAGTAACCTGCATCAACTCGTGAATCAGCATATCAAAGCAGACTAGCGCGGTGGTCTACTAGTACAAGGCATGCTGCGGTCACATTTTTTGAAAAGTCATAGGTCATGAAGCAGTTTCAAGAGTTGTTGCTACGTGCGTCGGTGGCGTTGATGCCCACAGTTTCTGCGATCAGGTGGGTGGAGGTCGAGCGAATCCTTAATGAGCTTGTGGGGGAGCTTGACCGAAACTCCGACAACTGTGAATGGTTGATCGGGCTGTCTATTCTTTGCCAGCTTTTGAATATCTGCAACCACTTGCCTGATTCTGTGGCTCGCCTCGGTGATCATTTAGTCCTTGTCTTAGTTCAATTTTTAGACCGGGCACATACGCATACAGCAAGCACCCCAATCGCCTTCAACCTGGAACAACGCTTGAGACTTGCGGTGGCATTCTCGTGGTACATGACGATCACTGCCGAGGTGAATGCCCCTCAAGCACTCTCCACAACGCTAGCCATCGAGCGTATCTTTGCTGTGTACGATCTCAGGATGCCAGCGAAAGCCGATATTACCAATGTGATGGGTCTGTGGGAGGTACAGTTGCGCAGCTATAGAATGGCTCTGATGGTAGCTGGACCCGAATTGGCTCCCAACACTCACTTGGTTCCCCAAATTTGTCGGTTTTTGAATTACGCCTTTTCGCTTTTCGCTCAAGGGACATCTGACACCATCGATTGGTACAAGTGGGAGGATATCGCTTCCTTGATCCAGCTGCCGGACAGCTGGATATTCCACATGTGTTTATTGGAAAGACTGAAGCAGGTCAGTCCACCGTCATTAGGTTTGCTGTGGGTATGTTGGGTTGTGGAAGAAATGTTGCAGTCAGCTGATTTGCACGCTCCGACCGTGCTGTTTGTGTGTCTGGTGGGCTTCAACCAGGCCATGATGTCAATGATGGAGCAGGGCCTTGCTGGTGTATACATGATGTTTGCAACTAAATTGTGTATGGTAGCGCCAGTTGAGTTTTATGGGGCATTCAAGGTGAAGGGGGAAGCAGGATTACACAGCTTCCCATCGCCCTACAAGGGGAAAGGTACCTCTCTGGCATTAAGCGATGAAGTCTACAATGATACTTTGGTTTATTCGCCAACTCCATCGCTCACGACGTATCCCATTGATACCTTAGTGTCATATTGCGATGCCACAATCCAATCAGAAGAGGTGGTTCAGCTTATCAAGCAACTTCCCAAGACTCTTTTCAATCAGAGTCGTGAGCACTTGATGTTCTGCTCCACGCTGCCTCTTAGTACAAACTATCTCAATTTGCTTATACACTTTTTCCTGTTGGATTCAGTGACCAACCCAAAGATCATTGTGTGGACTGTTTCTCTTCTTCACCATTTTGATCTTTGGTCAAATGCCGACTTTAGGGTGGTGTTGGAATACTTAACAGACTCGTGGAAATTTTACCAGAATCTAGAAGAATTAGATCGTCGTATCATTCCTAATGATCAATTTGCGAAAGATATTTCATTCGAGATTGTGCCGATGAATTTATTAGAGGTGACGACGGACACAATCCGGTCCAATTTGGAGCTGTTCAAGTTGTTTTTGTTCGTGGTGTATTTTGGTACGAAAGAGATTTATTTAAGACTTAATAAGTAGATGTCATAAACAAAAAATGAGCGACCTCGGTGAGGATTGAACTCACGATCTTGCGATTAACAGTCGCACGCCTTAACCAGCTTGGCCACGAAGTCTTGATGCGGAAATTCATGTCATCCAAGATGGAACGGACGAGACATTACAATCAACTCGGAGTTTACGCCATTTTTCAGGTTAATGAATGGTGGAATTTGTAGCCCACATATTAATACAATGTATACCAAAATTTTGGACCCGCTCACGCATATTTTAGAGCAAAATTAGGGTTCCGCTTTTGCCGGTGTCGCGGCTTTATCATATCCCACCCCCCCCTTCAAGGAGCCGCATATTGCCACCATGACAGCTGAGTCCTATATCCACAAGAATCTTCCAGAGCTGCGTTTATCTCTGCTCTACTCTAATTTTGAGGACAAGAGACTACTCAATCCTGAAGGATACAATGCCAATATTCAAACTTGGCTACAATTCCTCTTACAATATATTGGTGACGACCAAAGTCCTGACCTGAAATTCTCCATTGATGGTTCAAAACTTCCCAATCTTTTGACTTTACCTAAATACGGCAAACCAAAACTGTTGAACCTTGTGATTGACGCTGGCGTCGACACACATGCCCTTGAGCCATGGCTGCTGTTGAGAAACAAGCCATCAACGATTTCCAAGTTGTGGGATGCAGTGTGGGGTAGACAATACCATAGTAAAGAAGGGGATGGTATCAAGCATGAAAGATTCATTGCTTATGATCATTTACGGAATTGTGCTTCTACATATTGGACAAAGCTTGAAAGATCGCCAGCTGAGATTCTCCCTGACTTGAGTACAGTGGACGGGATTCTTCGTCGTTTATCAAAAGAAACACATCTTTTTCCGATAGATATAAAGATCTTGTGTACTTGGTGGCATCATGAGGGCAAATGTACGCTTGAAGGCGATTTCGTGCGCTTGGGTCAAGTCAAACCGATCCTGGACCCTGAGAAAGCCATAATCAATATGAAGAACACTTACGAAAATACTGTGGACCGTAATAGAAGGTTGGAAGAAGAAGTGGATGTGCTCAAATCAAAGGTATCCAAGCTTTTGGTTGAAAAAGCTGATGATAAGCGAGTGAAGCACTTCTTGCGACTCAAAAAAACAATCAACGACCTGTTGCACCATGGTCTCGATGTTGAAGCAAACATGCGTAAATTGCTTCTCAAGTTGGATGAATCGAGATTGAATGTGGCCAATGTTGATGCCATGAAGGATGCTTCGCTGGCAATGAAGGAACTCAATGCTCAACTTGACATTGACGCTGTGAATGGTCTCGCGGATACTATTGAGGAAGAAATTGCTAAGATTGATGATGTCTCAGCCAAGCTTGGGGAAGTGCTGCTCGATGATGATAAGCAGATTGAAGTCGACGAGGAGTTTGATCAAATGATGAAAGAAGAGGAAGCCAAGCGGAAACTCAAGCAAGCGGTATCTGGAGACAAGGTTGCGGATAAAGTTAAGTCCGATGAAGTGGAAGAAGAAGAAATCAAGCCGACCAAACAAGAATCAGCTGAGCTTGAAGCCCGTCTTGCAGCTCTTACACTTTCCCCTACTGATTTACCAAAGCTGAAAGAGGAGAATAAAGAAGAAAGACAATCAGTGTACTCTTAGTTAGTTATGTTTATTTATATACATGTATCATGGGTCATCACTTAAAGCAGTAATTCTAATTTACTACATCAACCATTTCAAATTCCAGGCTGTCACTGGATAGTTCAGAAACTGTGGTAGTCTTTGGAGGCGTCGCCCAATGAGCTGTGGCAGTCGTACTTGAAGCCAGAGCCTCAGGAACTGCCGAAGTGGTCACATTGTGTTGCTCGACAGGTTCCTTGGCCGCGGGCACTTCGTAGATACAACGCAAAACACGGTTTTCACTCCACCGAGGAGCGACGTAAATGGCCAAGATTGCCATAAACCCAAAGAGTAAGCCAACAAACTTCTCAAACACCAGATGGAAATAAATGTTTGTCATGAAAAGCATCAGCCACCACACCGAGCACAACCAGATGACTAAGACATGGGGGTTCTGGACCAAATAGTTAATGGTGACTTCGAGCTTGTTCGATGAAGTTTTGAAACGGTGAATGAAATTCTTAGTAGCAGCATAGAAATGAGTCCATCCGTACCACGTAGCCTCACTTTCCAAAAATAAGAAGAGCGACAGTTGCACCAACAAAAAGACGTGTCCCAGGGGGTCGTGACCACCCTCCCAGGATCCTTTAAGCCGACGACAAGTATACGACGTTACACGTGACAGGGCCCACCGACCCAACTCTTCATCAATCAGGAAATATTGTGAAAGAGAATCAAAACGGGAGTTGGGCTCATGAACAACGCATTGACCTCCAGTAAGTACGAAAACCTTATCCATGATGGGTAATCCAAAGCACCATTGAGTGAAAAGCCACCACCAGGTAGTGACTATCGCATACCGAATGGTTGCCGAACCAAGTTGGCGAGGGGTGATGCGGCGTTTGCTCCATTGAATGCCATAAAACACAACCAACACTAACGTCGTCCATCCCCAACCTCTTTTCACGAATACCTGGTTGACGAAATTGCGTTTGTTGTTCCAGTAATTGAATACTTGCTCCGCAGGACCACAAGCATTGATGATCTTACCAAACACGTAGTTCACAATGAACAGGGAAAAGAACACTAGCTCAGCCATGGAGAGACGCAATAAGGCCGCCCAGCTTTGGAGCCGGGTATAGGCCTGGTTCCAGCGTCGCTCAAGCTCTTGATGATGAGGGTCCATTGCGCCTGAGGCTCTGGGTGATAGCTGGATCAAGGTTGCGAAAGACAGCAAACAGGTGCTGATGCAGGCAGCTTAAGTAAGTGCACACTCTACTGGCAGATAAAGGGACAAAGTGGCTAAGTCCGAGTAATTCTTCGGGGTTCCACGTGTGGCAAGCGGGATAGAGAGCGTTTCTTTTGTAACCATCTCCTACGGGGCCATGACGTCTCGCCACCACCAACACGCACTGTGTGCAGGAGTGACTATTGCTTTCACAAGATGATGGTATATTGACAACACTTTCGAACTGGCGCGCGTCGTTTAGTGCTACCTGCAGGATAATTTTTCTGGAGATTTCGTGGGAACGATCGTTTACCCCGACTCGCCGTCGTCTCCTTACCTTCATGGCCACCAATTATTATCTGGACCAGTTGGGTCTCCCAAAAACCGACCCCACTCGATGGAGACTCCGGGTCTCCGATTTGGGGAGACAAACATGGCACTATCTTTCCGAAGAGGATGCCAATGTCGAGCCCCAGCTGACGGTGGCTCAACACGCGCTTGAGACCGCCGACTTCCCCACCCCTGAAGCCACCGGAAATAATGGGGATCCTTGGGAAGCGTGTAAGCTCGGGGCGCTGTTCTTCGAGCTTTTACAGGACGAACAAGGGACGTTCCCGTGCATGTATCAAGGTCCCCAATTTATGACCATCGGCTACGTCGCCGCATGCTACTACTGTGGCATTGAGATTCCTGAACCGTTCCGGGTGGAGATGATTCGATACATCGTCAATACCTCCCACCCTGTCGATGGTGGATGGGGACTTCACACGGTCGACAAACTGACATGCTTTGGTACCACCATGAACTACGTGTGCCTCCGGCTTTTGGGCTTGGAGCCCGATCACCCAGTGATGGTAAAAGCCCGCAGAACGTTACACCGCTTGGGTGGAGCATTGTATGTTCCTCATTGGGGTAAAGCCTGGTTGCTGGTGCTCAACTTGTACCGTTGGGAAGGGGTGAATCCCATGCCCCCTGAACTCTACTTGTTACCCGAGAATTTGCCATTGTACCCGGGCAATTTTTGGGTGCACACTCGGGCCATTTACCTCCCTTTAGGGCTCATAGTTGCTAACCGTCTCCAAACTGCAGAGACTGACTTAGTCCGTCAAATACGACTGGAAATTTACACCAAGGACTATGACAGCATAGACTTCAGCAAGCACCGCAACCTGGTGTGTGGGGTGGACCTTTACTACCCCCATACAACCTTGCTTAATATTGCTAATTGGGCTCTTGACAAATATGAACAGCATCGTCCTCAATTCATGAGAAACATCGTTAATAACCGTGTTTACGATCTTTTGGTTAAGGACTACAAAAATACCGAATGGTTGCTGATTGCGCCGGTGTCCTACGCCTTTTCGCTTATTATTACCCACTGGCGCGAAGGACCGAAACTGGAAAACTTTATTAAGCTACAAGACCGGCTTAATGATGTTGCTTACGTCACATCTCAGGGTATGTGTGTAATGGGCACCAATGGGGTGCAAGTGTGGGATGCTCTGTTTATGATCCAGTACTGGTTTATGCTGGGGCTTGCTGAACTTCCTCAATACGAACCAATGGTGCGTAAAGCTTACATGTTCCTTGTACGACTGCAGTTCACCACTAACTGTGAACCAGGGTCGCTGCGGGACATTAGAAATGGCGCCTGGCCATTTTCCACTAAAGAACAAGGATATACCGTCAGTGATTGTACAGCCGAAGCAGTGAAATCGATTATCATGGTACGGAACAGTCCGGTGTTTGCCGATATTCACGATGCCATCAGCGACCAGCGGCTTTATGATGCGATTGAGGTGCTCATGCTGCTTCAAAATCGGGGTTCATACGAGTTTGGCTCTTTTTCAACTTACGAAAAGATTCGTGCTACACCTTTACTTGAAGCTCTTAATCCCGCTGAAGTTTTCAACAACATCATGGTTGAATACCCTTACGTCGAGTGTACCGACTCGCTGGTGTTGGGGCTCACCTATTTCCACAAATTTTACCCGAAATACAAATCCGATCTTCTTCGATTTGCCATTGATGATGCTATTGCCTTTATCGTCAAAGCCCAACATGATGACGGGAGCTGGTATGGTGCATGGGGGGTGTGCTACACCTATGCCGGCATGTTCGCTTTGGAAGCCCTTGACACTGTGAACCGTCACTACAACAACGACGCAGTGGTTCGGAAAGGTTGTGACTTCTTGATCTCGAAGCAGCTCCCCGATGGCGGGTGGCTGGAGCTGATGAAGGGGTGTGAAACTCATAGCTACATCAATAGCGAACGGTCTCTTGTTGTGCAAACGGCGTGGGCGCTTATCGGGCTTGTGCTTGCTCGCTACCCTGATCGGGAGCCATTAGACAGAGCGGCTAAATTGTTGATGGACCGGCAATTACCTACTGGTGAGTGGAAGTTTGAGGATATCGAAGGGGTGTTCAACCACCTGTGTGCCATCGAATACCCCTCCTACAGGTTCCTCTTCCCCATCAAAGCTCTTGGTCTTTACAATAAGGCCTGGAGAGACAAAAATTGAATTAGGATACCTTTAATCTAGCATGGATTTATCTATTAGTATGCATCGTAGAATTGTTTGATGGGATAGCTCAGCTTTAAGTATGACCGATCTCCTAAGTTCATAGTCACCGCACGGGGTGATGGCCCCACCATTCGATTATACTCCAATGAGCACGCCGGACCAGTATCTTGAGTCGGCAGACGACGGTTGAGAAATGCAATGGCATGCTTTAGCTTATTCAGCCGTACTTGTTTGCTGGGATCAAGCAGCGCAGGCATGTTGGCTTCAATGGGGTCGACGGTAGAATAAGGCGGAGGGGCGACAACACCCGAAACCTCGTCTTGTCGTTGCATATTATGCCGCAGCAGCACACACTGATCGCAATAGCAGATCTGGTATTGTTGCTGGAACCGATTGCGAAATTTCAACGCTGTGGTCTGAAACCATTGAGTAAGATCAAAACCTGGGGAAACGTCTTGGGGTTCGAGCATCCACCGAGTTGTCGTCTTCGAAAGCTGGAGATAGTATAATAGCGACAAATGATGAGTGCGGTAAAACAAGTCGATGTCTAGCGTGGGTACGAGCACGGTTTCACGGTTCAGTTTGTCGATGCCAAGCAGATAAAACTGCATGTAGCGAATGGCCGACTCTGTAAGAATCTCCTTGCAATATATGCTTTCGGTCCACCCCTGCGCTGCGACTTGCTCCATGAACGGTTCTTGCTTGAGCACAAGATCGGGAAGGTTTTCCCATTGATGAATCAGTTTCGGAAGAGTGAGAAACGTGAGATCGTAGCGGCGATACACTCCCAAAATCTGATCGATGATCTGCACCAAGTCGTTTTCTCGGCGCAGAATTGCATCCATTTTCGCGTGGTCAATGATTTTGTCCATGGTAAGCACTCGGAACAGGTCGACAGTCGACACCCCCAGCTTCTTGATCAGTGCTCGAATACGTCCATCGAGTGACCCCTTAGAGGCATGAAACAACTTCGAATAATATTTGGTGATGCCCATGAAGAAAATCTTGTCGTCCAAATACTTGAAAAGCACTCGCTTTCTCAACTCTTCGTGGGTCAAGGTACGATTAAAAGGACAATTGCATTTGGAGTTGGCATTCTGCTCAATGCAAAAACCTGTGTCGCTAAACCCGGTACCGTCCTCATTAGTCAACAGGATATCGGTGACAAGTACCTGGGTACAAAGCGGACACCGCACGTGCATTTTGACCTCATTAATCGAGGCTAAAGTGGTGTGGTAATGGAGATCCGTAGGGTCGTTCAGGTACAGATAAAGCAAGTCAACGTAAGCGTAGCAGGCGTCAATGGAGGGTGAGTAGCCAAAAGTGTGATTGTCTATCGCGTCACAGACTCGACGAAGCGGGAACGGGTAAAAGATCATGCGAACAAACTTACCAATGACAAAATTATCGTAAAACAGTGTTGGGTTCATCATAAACGAATACCACACTAAAAGTACATCAAGTGGCGGGTAGAAGCTATCAAGCTTCGCCAATTGATTGCCGCTAAAGTTGAGCCCCAGCTCGTAAGCTCGGCGTTCGTCCATGGGCGTTAATCGAGGCTCCTTGTCGAGATAGTTTCGTAACGCCAGCACAAAGGCAAGATACCGACGCAGAGCCAACTGAAGGTAGCGTCGCCAGTCGAGAGCTGGGTTTTCCGAGTGCTTCAAGATGCGTTGCTTTAACGCCAAAAAAGCCTTAATCAATTTCAAATGGTAGACAGCCTCATCAACTTTGGGGTAGTGGTTGATGCGGGTATCAACATCGCCGGACTCTGTCGTCATGCCGATTTTCACCAGAGCCAAGTGGTGAGTGTCAATAAGGTGGTGGGGGTCGGTGAAGATCGAGTAGGCCAGCATGGCGGCGGGATCCTCAGCGTACACATGGTGACATCGCCGAGAATATATACGTAATCTCAGATTATGAATCAAGAGGCGTGCTGGGACTTCTTGTCGTCGGAAAATACTGCATCGTCAACTACTGAGTGCCGACCCCACCTCGCAAGCGTTATCGGAAATCGCAATCGCTGCCCACAATAACAAACAGTGCGCGAGCCAAACCCGACGGCCACAAGGAATTACGAGGGGAAGGTGGCCAGCAGCGGCTTAACTACAACGGGTGAAGGTGACCGAAGTACGCCATGCTGGTTCGGAGAATGTAGGATCGAGGTAAATCTAATAATGCCTGCCATCGCCAAAACATTTACGCGTATCCACAAAGGTGGAGAGTGCCCGCGGTGCAGTTGTCTACGAGAATGTGCCACTTTGGGATCTTAGCCGCAGCCACATTATCCTCAGGGGGTAGGGGAGGTTGCTGGAGCTTGCTTTGAAAGTGCACGGCTTTATAATAATAGTAGGCATCACTGTGGGCGCCCTGGCAGGAAGGGTCCCTGGTACCTCAGCAGGACCCTTTAGCAGGACCCTACCTCCACGATCACAATTGCGGGGCTTCGGTGCCAAAACAAAGCCATCGCCACCACGGCGATGGAACCTAAATCGCGGTACGTTTAGCCGCCGGTGCTACCAGACTGACAACAAGAAACGCCTATTTCGGGCAACGGCTAGCTGGTGCTGGGGCGATAAACGTCCACAACCAAACATTTAGCCGGCTTGGTGGCGCCGTGCACCACGCATGGCGCCTCCCAGATGTTCTTCTGAACCCTTTACCGGGAATACCTGCCGGAGACGTAGAGAAGAAGGACCGAGCCACGAGCCTACGAAATATCCTCTCCCCTGCCCCTGTCTTGATTAGCGGAACCTGCTTATCGTAGTCATAGCGAGAGAAGCAAAACGCAACAAAGGAAAGCAAATTTCAGGAGCCCACGCCCGTTTCAGGCATCGTCCAGATACTAGGCATCGGTAGCCAAATAGTTGATCTTTTAGGTTGTATCGGTGCCACAAAGGCCCGGAGAGGCTATTGTTGTTTTTAGGTAAGTGCAATTGAGGCGACGAGGCGGCCCCAATAGCCTCGTCATCACACTGCAACGACTAAACATTGTCTAAGACTATACGAACACTACTGGGTGGCCATGGCCTCCTATCATAACCTTTGATAACAGAGGTTTCCATTCGCGGTGTTTGTTTTGGTCTCACGATTGCAATCACAGATGGTTTCGTGACGAACTTCCTTCCCCAGGTATTTGGAGCCCCGGAAACCAAAATAAGGTTCGAGGATTTTTGGTTGCCAATTAGGCGGCTGACAAAGTATCTCCATGTTACCATCAGTGGTCGTTGTTGCTTCTACATGAGCCCCGTCGAGCCAGCTCGCGCTTTAAGGTTGGGTTGTCAGATTGTATCTACTAAAGGTGTTTGATCGTCTCTATTTGGTGGACGGCCTATATAGGTCCCGCAATGGCTCATCCTTGCCAATGTCGCTTGATCTTGCCGTCGGGCATGACCACATCAGTGGCAGATGTCGAGCGATAAAACAGTGTCCGTCGGTCTCTGCTGACGTCTGCATTCGTCCAATTGCCTGATTCAGGCAAAGATTCATCAGGAATTCTCCCGCTTTTCACCCATTTCATCACCTCCTTTTCGTCGAGTACACCGTCGTCGGGGTTGGCGCTGTGACCGCCATCACGCTTGATAGGTAACGTCCGGAAACCCTCTAGGTTTTCTTCCGAGTACTTATCCGCGACGACTTGGCGCCCATCGTCGTTGAAATTGTCTCCAGTGTTGGGACCAGTATACTCTTGGCCATCCCAACAGTAGCGGTCAAAACACCGTTGGCATTGTTCAGTAGGGGCTATCCCTTGACGCTCCCGCGCCCTCTGGACGATGGCACAGCCAACACACGCCGACCACTCCTTATCAAGAGTACCATTGAGGCGGGTGGCTGTCTCAAATCCGTTACGAATCATGCCGTTACGATCATTGGTGGTATATGTCAATTTGAACGTTGACATGTTGCTCCAAAACGAAAACGGACGATTGGGCATGTACACCACCAACGGAGTATCGATGGCGCTGCCAGCAACCTCACCGATCATGTTTTGAGCATAACACCCGAAGAACGTTGGCCGTGCCGTCAAGTTACCGTAATAAAAGGTGTAAGTGTTGGGCACAGGAGGGAACGACGCCTTGTGTCCCTTCTCGGTGAATTGATTTTGATAAGTGGTGATGAGGGCAGTCCCATCAGGCCAGTTGAGGGTGTCGGCACTGTTGTCGTGGGCAAATATGACGTCAACTTCGCGGTCCTTTTGGAGGAGAGGAGCTAAGGGGACGTTTTGATCATCAAAGCCGCCATCGCAAAGGAATAAAGACTCGTTTTTGGCAATATTAGTGTTGCCGTCGGGTATATCCATGAAGGGGTTGGGATACTTCGCCACATCTATAGGCAATGCGGTAGCTTTAGCGATGAAAAGCTTCACAATTTGTTTGATAATGGGAGGAAGCGATTCCACATCAAAATCCTTGAACAAATAGTTGAAGATTGACAGTGACGTGCCAAACTCAAAACTCAAGTTGTCAAGTCTCGAACGGCACTCAGCACTGCCAAGGCTGAACCACCCTACCGCTTTCCCATCATTTGCCCTCGTGCCCAAATACTCTTGTTGCACAAATGATGATACTCTGGGATCATAGGACCCAAATTCAAAAGGATTCATTTCAAACTGCACAGAATCTTGGTCCACGACCAACGTTTGTGGACGTCTCAGCGTCAGCACCATGATCGGGAACGGTATGTCGTGGCTAGAGAATTTGCTCAATGCCTGCAAATCGGAGATCTGGAAGTCGCTGCCATAATTCTGCACTCCAGGCAAAATGTTGTACAGTAAAAGCCGTCCCCAAATGTCGGTCAACGTCACCGGCATTGTCAGCACAAGCTTGGTGGTGATATCCAAACTGACGCTAAGAATGTATAATCCGTTGGTAAAAATATTAAAGAGCCCCTTGATGTCCAAAAGGTTGCGGTTCAAATCCCAGAAGCCGGTAGTACCTATTGCCTGGTCCACCGGAGGGAAATTAATTGCCACCATCGACGAAAGCAACCACAGACCCCCCAGTAACCCGGTGATGTACGACAGCGACTGCAAAATTCCAGCCATGGGGTTGTTATTGCTGACAGTCCGTTCGTCGTACGCCGATAGTTGGCCAGCCCCCGCAAGCATGGCTCGGTAGCCACCACCAGAGAATGCAAGCCCAATCCGAATTGGTTTCAGACTCAGCGATAAGAACAGCGACGCATCGAAGTCTTCCATCGATGCATCGAGCAAAAATTGCTCTAGACGTGATTGAGTCACCGAGTCTCGACCCTTGATCCATTCTGCCTCTTCCGGTGACACCACCAGTCCTTGCCGTACAAAGGGATTGTTAGGGCACTGAGTATAGTCGACTCCGTACCCTGCGACCAACGTCGCTATCCACGTCAAGCACAAAACTAGGACCCTTAGCATTTCCGTGATAGCATCGTCCGGCACTGAGGATGTTCATATCTCTATATAGCAGATACTAAGGTTCAAACAGTCTGGCGAGGCGTTTTGGTAGTTTTCGCTACGAATCGGGAAGCACTATATGCGTGGCACAACCTTAAGTGGTGCACTAAGACTTAACTAACGACAGATAGAGACCCAATGACCATAAGCCAGGCGCCGCTAAACCACTGGCTATAGTTGACACCGTGGTCCTCTTTGGTATCCAGAGAGTTCCATTAAATTGTCAACCATTGTGTACAATGGCACATGAACAATAGAGATGATTGAACAAGCGTACGAAACTCGAATATTTACACTCATTGCCATTCTTGGCGCAAACATGCTACACCAATACTCGTCTTTGGCCGATGCAGATTTTGTGTTTGGACTCACCCCACATCGAGTAAGTCATTTGGTTGCGTGGACGTTTAGGGTTTTTAGGCTTTATGGTTGGTACTTTAGATCACACGGAGACTTTTCTATGCCGCAGGGTCTGCGAAACAATAGACTATTGTTGGCTCAAAGTACGTCAAACAGAGAAACATCCTTATAGGCGTGGGCTTTTTCATCGTACACGTCATGTTTTCTTCTCCTCTAAAAGTTACACTACAGCAGTAGCCAGATGAGGCGCAAGGTACACCGCGCACTCCACGCAACTAGACACTGCACGATGGTAGAGATTACGAGAGAACTGAAATGCTTGTTGACAAAGACTGATGTCGGGGCCCTATTATTTGTTGTCTATATCTCTCCCTTCGACATCAGACAGCACCGGCGGAGATATATTAGTAATGGTTCGCCTCGATGGTGAAGACGTCCCAATCGGGTTTGGTTTTCGCTATTTATAGTCAACTGGGAGGGCATTTTTGAGGTTAATTGTTTATGGGTGATGTCTCAGTCACATGAAAAGAAAGTGTCGATTTCGCGCGACGACAGACCTGGTTGAGAGCCCCGCGAACCACCGTCTGATACACGTCTCCACTACTGAAGCAACACACGTTTGTTGAGGACCATGGCCATCAGCGACGTCCTTGGTGAAATCAACCAGAATCTTGGGCGGGGGAAGGAGTGGTTCCAGCGGCAGTCGCGGACACGCCAAGTAGCGCTTGTCGCTGCTATTGTCGTCGTGGCTATCGCTGGCGTCCTTGCTATCATTTTCCATAAACGGCTCGTCCACTTCCTCCGCGATGTCGCCGTGTGGTGGCAGGACTTCAAGTGGGGTAAAGTGGTATTGTGGATACTCGTATTTTTTGTCGGGTTCCCTCCATTGATTGGCTACCTGGCGTTGCTGGTGTTATGCGGCATGGTGTATGGGTTTCCATGGGGGTGGCCGCTCTTGGCGTCGGCCCTGATCATGGGATCGTTCGCCCTGTTTTTGCTCTTCCGCTATATCCTTCATAACCAAGCGGTGTACCTTGCCAGCCACAATGAGAAGTTCCGGGCGTTCTCGGAGATTTTGCACGAGAACAACTCTTTATGGCTCTTGACGCTCATCCGCTTGTGCCCCTTACCTTATTCGCTTTCCAATGGTGCGCTTCTGGCAATTCCTGAGTTGTCGCCTGTGACATTTTTGTTAGCTCTGACAATTACGTCGCCGAAGCTTTTGATCCATCTTTTCGTAGGATCAAAGCTCAAAGACTTGGGCGATGATTCCAAGCTGGGCCTGACTAAACTTGTCGACATTTTAAGTATTGTCATCACCATCGCAGCAGCGGCGCTTACCACCTATGTCATTTACTCGAAAATGAAGCAGAAGCTTACCCAATATGAGCGTAACGGCGACAACTACGATAACATGATCTTTGGAAACTTTGATGAAGAACTGAATATCGAGCTTCATCTGAATGACTACGACGCCGACAATTTTGTCATCGACGAGGATGATATTGAGGCCCGTCGGAGTGAGCAGCGAGAACGTCACGATATTGAAGATTTTGAGATAAGTGATGACGAAGACATTCGATTGTAATATGGACGTTAATAGATTTTAGACCTTAAATGATTAGAGTTTTTGTGATGTGTGGGATAATATTCTATTACAGTACACCGAAGTGATACCGGTTGATCTATAGGATTTTTAGGAGCTGAATTAACTTATTGTTTGTCCGTCAACAAACATCAATCGAGTACGACGACGTTCGACCTTGTCGTTTTGAGTAAGACCTCGACCCTCTCCATTGATCAGGTCGTTACCCAGAATAATATTCTTACCATCGTGCTCGCAATAAATATCGCCGTTAATGAGGTAATAGTCGTCGCGGATCGTCCGGCGACACTTAAGACAACGCAAACAGTGCAAATGCCATTTTTGCAACAACTCATTCTCGATACATTCGCCTTCAATACCAGTGGAGCAGAGCTCGCACAACGTGCCGTTCTCCTGGTGGTAGTGGAAACCACAGTAAGGATAGTCGGCATAAACGTAACATTGTACGTGCTTTGAAAACGCGACTTGGCAATCGGGGTGACTGCAAGTGAAACATCCGCGGTGCCATTGACCCAGAAGATCACCCAGCCTCGAAAAAATGGCTCTTTCGGGACCCTTAGCATCAGGGGACACTTCATTAGAACAAGCGCGACAAGGCCCCTGACCTGGAGCGTGTTTAGTAACAATGGGCATGAGCGGCGACAGGTCGGCACCAAAGTCAAATCGGGGGTATTGCAGGCCCATCTGAGGGGAGTGAGACATCGTAGGGGTGTGGTTCATCACTGGCGTCGAAATCTTCTGAGGGGAGTAAGTCACCTGCTTTTTGAGGATCAGCTTAGGCGCTGTCAGGTTTGACTTGATCAGTATAAGTTCGTCGTCAGGAATCATCAGGCCGAACTGTGATCCTTGAGGCAAAGGCGGCGACTTAACAATTTTAACCTCCGCATGTTGGTCCTCCAGGCCCACAAAAAGTGGTTGTACCAGATCATACAGCGCAACCAGCAGCATGTCGTCGTAGTCGTCGCTGGCCAGCAGAAGACGAGATCCTGGACGCGGGGGCTCTGAGCCCGAGCCCCGCTCAGATCCCTGCTGCTCCAATTCGTAGATTGAGGCGTCAATTGAACGCTCAAGGTCGACAACAGATGGAGACTTTTCATTTCTGTGTGGCTGTTGTCCATTCACCACTTCTCGAGAGCTAGGGAGCGATTCAGCTTGCGTCGGTTGAAGAGAGCTGATCGCAATTGATGGCTCCTGAGATGACTCTACAGTGATTTGGGGCAATGAGGGTACCGAAGGGGGTTCGTTCACCTCAATAGTGGGCACTGCAGGAGGAACAGAAGCCACTTCCGGGGCTTGTTCAACCACAAAGGAAGGTGGGGCCACTCGCGGAGATGCATGAGGGACACCTTGGGGGTGCTTAAATTTGTCCGTCGTGGCGGGGATGGGCGTAGGCGACTCTTCACGGTCAAATTCGGACATGTGATCTTGGTTTCGCAGAGAAGACTGCTGCGCCACTTGATTTGTACTGGGTGAGTTGATATTAAGGTTTTTGCCACCATTAAATTTAAGCTCGTCCAATTGGCGCTGAAGTTCGGCGGCGGATTCATCATCCAGATCGTCCTCATCGAACAGGTCGTTGTCTCGCAGAATAATCAGCGACACCATCAGCACCTGCGATTGACGATATTGCTGAGGTTCAGGTCTGGCCATGAGAAAGTTTTGGTAGTCACTAGACTGCTGCAGCTGAGCCTCCTTAGATTCGGGGACCTCACTATCAGTATCCACCACTTTGGGAAGAATATCCACGGTAGGTAATGGCGGCGGCGGCGATGCCTGACTGAATCGCGTCAGCAGACGAGGCAAGCTGCTCAGTTGCAGAGAGCGATGCGACTCGACCTCACTGCGCAAATCCTGAAGTGCCAGATCAATCTGGTTGATTTTCTTAATCGACCGTTTTTTCGTTAAGGTACTGCGACGCTGCAACTGTTCCTGAGATTGACGTTGGCGCATCTTCTCAGTGACGGGAACGAACGTCGTTTGATCATGGTGATCGGGGACTTGTGGTTGAGGTTGAGATGGTGGCGCCGTATGAATCTGAGGATACGGAACCGACTGATTAGCGGAGTCCTCGTCTTGTATCGGTGGAGACGGTTCCGCTAAGTTATGATAGTGTTCATGAGGGTATACGGGACCCAGAGAGGGGGCTGTGCCCCCCACGGGGTGGCTGATGTGGCCCAGGTAGTTCATGGGGGCTGCCTGAGGCGCCAATTGGGGTGACGCTGGCTGCGACGCCAGCTGGGGTTGCGGCTGAGCAAATGGTGGTCGCTGAGACTGCGCTACCGATGGCAGCAGCGGCGCCATCACCGGCAGTTTGGCCAGCGGCAGCTTTAGCAGCAGCAGCGTGTGCAGGGGAGGGGCAAAATTGAAACTAGGGTTGCGTCCCAGCAGCAACGCCGGCAGCGTCGATAGAGGCGAGTTGGGTTGACGATTGGTCATGGGGGGAATATCGGTGGAAATCATGAGCCCCTTGACATTACGCTTGCCGACGCCGACGCCGGAGTCGCTACGGTCGCTTACCGGCAGCGTCAGCTCCAGCTCCAGGCGCGAGTGACTATGGTCAAACACGGGGTGAGGAGGCACCAGTTGCGCCAGCTGGTGGGAACTTCGAGGCAACAGCGACAGCGAGCTATTGCGGGAGCGGGACGTGCGGTAGGCGCCATTGGGGGCGTTGAAGCCGTTGTTGCCAGAGCCTCCCCGGTTGATGTCGAACCCAGCGCGTTCATACACCCCTTTGTAACGATGCTCGATTTTGAACGGGGGGAATGCCAGATCCTGGACGATCGGCAGCGGTTCGGACTGGTAGAATTTTGGAATCAGCTGGAACCGTGACATCCCGGCACTTGGAGACATGAGCGGCGGCTTACCAAACTTTGTATCCGGAGGCATTGACATTTCGTGGCATTGCGCGTATCTTCTTGTGTGAGCGCGGGGGCTCTGTCCTGCACCTGGCGGGCTCGGCACCATAAATCCTGTGCCGGTGTTTTTGCAAAGACGCGCTAGTGACGCGACGTCCCTTCTGCCGTACGCTGACAGAAGTCGGTGTTTTTAAATCAAATTCGCCTCCCTACTGTCAGCCTGGTAATAGGCAATGTTAAAGGACCCTCTATCTACTAAATTAGTCGTCTCCGGATCAGTTAGTTTTACTTTCAACGCCGTTAAGGTGATGTGAACCTCCGTCGGAGCTCGCGGTCGCGCCGCCGCAGCCCGCCCCAAAAAGCGTGTAATTAGCCTACAGGGCGTTCCAGGCTCACAGTACCGAAGCACGCGCCATGTACGACGCCAGCGAGGAGGGGATGAGTCTCGTCTATCGTCCATTGCTACCCCCATCAGTAAAAATAAGATTGACTATCACTCGACTCTCATTGCCATAAACATTACTGATGGCGCCAATTTCGGTGTCGGCTGTCAGGTGGGGTGATTGCTATCGCTGAAGTCTGTCGGCTAACCGCATAGTAAGGAGACTCGCGTAGCTCAGCAAATGCCCCCTCATACGATTCAGGCTCCCACCCGCTTCCACCGATGCTAGCAGACACATCGAGATGCCGAAGCGAGTAGATGGTGTACATTGCTATACGAAGAGAGTTAATACTACACGGGGTAGAGGGGTATGGCAAAACTTCGACACTGGAGTGTCATGAATCTCGTCTAGTGACGTCGCTAAATGCAGCACAGTTTGACACGGCCTTTGTTTACCTCAAAACACCCTCCCTGAAAAGTCCCGACAATAGTTGTTGATGTCAGAGAGAGAATAGAAGGTTTGCTAAAGAAAATGGTAGTGTTCACCAACAATTCTGTCTGTGATGTAGTTAAGTGTTTTGACTCAGATTATGGTGCTAGTATAAAGTCAAGTGGCAATGTTTACCTGCTTGATCCCTTCTTTCTCTCATTCTGGCGTTTGTTGTTGAGTTTCGTCACGTGAAGAAATTCGAACGAAAAGCGCTAAAGGGCTCATACTGGGGTGGCCGGTCACCAAAAGCGGTGCCACCGGTATGTCCACGTTGGAAGCCGCCATCACCCTAGCGTTGGCAGGACATCGCCACATTGCCGTCACATCGGATGTCCCCTCTGAGTCTGTGGCTCAGATTCAATCATGTGTACCCAATTCCGAAGTCGTGGACGTATCCACAACTCTACCGCCGCCGCAATCAACTACAGTTACCATATGGACCCAGGTTCAACAAGCGGATGATACCACCCAGCGCCAGCTATATGAATATCTAAAGCAACCCTATGAATATGGCATTGTCATCATGGTGTTAGACGTGGCTTTGGTGGCTTCAGTCAAACTTTATCCATATCTCAAGGAGCATTTTTGGTTTAGCGTTTATCCCCCGAATGGGGACAAATGCTCCCCAATTGATGCTTCGGAAGTGTCAAGAATACGAAGTGCGGTTCCCGAAGTCTACGTTCTGCCAGATATCAAGCGATATATCCATTCACTTATCATTTTCACCCGTCAGCACCGAATGGCGAGTTTGGCACCGAAAAGTGTGCGGTTGCCTACCACCGCTATCGATGGGGTCAGGGATCTAGCAGTGACGATACTGGCCTGGCGCCATCAGAAGTTTGTCGCTCCTGACACCGTGAAAATCGCTTACAAGAGAGTGGCTTATTGGCTTGTGGACTGGGAGACTAACCGGCAATTTGCAGTGGCTGAATCTCGAAATAATGACGAAGAGTTGGAGAAGCGATACAAACTAGCCAGTATGGCTGGCGACTGGTATGGCAGTGACTACGACGCCATTCAAAGGTACATCCAAAAGTACCGTCTGCGGCATCAATCAAATTCGCCCACCGGGAGGAGTAACACAATAGTGGAGGACGTTCTCGTCAAAGTAAGGCCACCAATCTAATCATATTTCCCCAAATGAATTCGACTTTCAATTCGAGCTCAATTTTCACTCGGCAAAATTTTTCATAGTTTTAACGATATATCATGAGATACCCCATCAATTCTTCAAATTTCAAAACTGTTGTCATGAACTGCCTTGAATTGATATTCTGCAGTCCTGTTTCTCCATGCTTCCAATAATTTCACTGAGTGGCAAAATCTCGAATTTTTCAATTGCTCAACCCCGGATACTCGGTCGGCATACTAAATTTATGGGGCGATAGTACTTACCACCGTAATTGCGACCACTTCGTCATCTAAACATATATATACTAACTTAATCGATTAACCATTACGAAAACACCAATTTTCATTTCTTGCCACTTGTCGAAATAGTGGTTGTCGTAAATATGGCTAAGGCCGTAACCTGTCCGAGCCGCATCACGTGACTGCCTTTGCGCGTCGACGACAAATGCCACCAAATCAAATACCTCACCAAGCTTGATCACCACAATGTCGCATGATATTCCGATTGAGTTCACGGAGATCGTCAACTTGACGTCACTAGGGATTGCCCCACAGTCCCTTGACTTCAAGCTGACGACATTGGAGCTGGACAAGTACGTTTGCGTGCGGGAAACTCATGATGGAGCCAACACTGTTGCTATTGTCAACTTGCAAACAAGCGAAGTTACCCGAAAGAACATGACCGCCGACAACGCTATCATGCACCCGCATGAGTTTGTCATTGCCTTGCGGGCTAACGGTACCACCATTCAAATTTTCAACTTGGCCACCAAACAACGTCTCAAGTCCCACACCATGAGTGAACCGGTAGTGTTCTGGAAGTGGTTGGACGACAAGCACTTGGGGTTGGTCACTGGTACCTCATTCTATTTCTGGAATATCTTCGATGGCACCAACAATGGTCCCACTCGTTTGACTGAACGTCACCAACTGTTGGCTAACTGTCAGATTATCAATATCTGTGCCGAACCTGACTTGAACTGGTTTGCGGTAACCGGGATTGCTCAAGAAGATGGGCGTATTGCTGGTCACATTCAATTGTTTTCCAAGCTGCGTGGCGTGTCTCAAGCCATCGAAGGGCATGTTGCTAAGTTCGCCCAAGTCAAATTGCTGGGGGCAGTGCAACCCACTAAAGTGTTTTGCGTTGGTAACAAAAACGCCCAAGGCCAAGGTAATTTGCACATCATCGAGATTGACCACGTTGATGGCAACCCTCCTTTCCAGAAAAAGCTGGTAGACATTTTCTTTCCTCAGGACGCTACCAATGACTTCCCCATCTCTTTGCAAGCTCTGGACCGTTATGGTGTGGTTTATGTTCTTACGAAGTACGGGTTCATTCACATTTACGATATGGAACTGGGGACTAACTTGTTTGTTAACCGTATCACTGCCGACCCCGTGTTCACGGCCACCGCTTATAATGACGGTACCGGTATCTTGACTATCAATAAGCTGGGCCAAGTCTTGGCTGTGGAACTCCTGCGGGATCGGGTGGTGCCTTATGTACTTGAGCAATTGCTGAACGTGCCTTTGGCCTTGACGTTGCTGGCCCGGGGCGGCTTCCCTGGTGCCGAGCTGCTTTTCACTCAGCAATTCCAGAACTACCTCAACCAAGGTGACTATGCTAATGCTGCTAAAGTTGCCGCTTCTCTGGAGCAGTTGCGTACTCAGGACACCATTAACAAGTTGAAAAACATCACCGCTCCTCCCGGGCAAGTCCTGCCTATCCTCCAATATTTTTCTACTTTATTGGACCGTGGCACCTTGAACAAGTATGAGCTGATTGAATTAGCAAAGCCTGTATTGCAACAAGATCGCAAGCCTCTTTTTGAAAAGTGGTTGAAGGAAGACAAGTTGACTCTGTCGGAAGAGCTTGGTGACATCGTCAAGCTGTACAACGATGCCGCCTTGGCTTTGGCTGTTTACATTCGCGCTCAATGTCACATCAAGGTTGTGGGTTGTCTCGCTGAATTGGGTCAGTTCGACAAGATTTTGCCTTATTGTGATAAGGTTGGCTACAACCCCGATTACACCAACTTGGTTCAAAACTTGATTCGGGTGCTGCCTGACCGTGCCCTGGAATTTGCGGTGCTGTTGTTACTGCTGGACCTGGCAAACGTCAACATTGAAACTATCGCTGACTTATTTTTCTCGCAGAATTACGTTCAGCAAGGAACTGCGTTTTTGTTGGATGCTCTCAAGGCTGATGACCCTGCCCAAGGCCACTTGCAAACTAGAGTTCTCGAAACTAACCTTTTGCACGCTCCTCAAGTTGCTGATGCTATCCTTGGCAACAATATGTTTCACCATTACGACAAGCCCACGATTGGTCGCTTGTGTGAAAAGCTGGGTTTATTTCAACGTGCTCTTGAACACTACGATGACATCAAGGACATCAAGCGTGTCATTGTCCACACTAACGTAATTGACACTGCTTGGTTGGTTCTGTACTTCGGTCAGCTCAATGTCCAACAACTGATGGACTGCTTGCGTGAATTGTTGCTGCAGAACATGGCTCAGAACTTGCAAGTTGTTATTCAGGTTGCTACCAAATACCTGGATTTGCTTGGGCCACTTCAACTTATCAAGTTGTTCGAAGAATTCAAGTGCACTGAGGGTGAATACTACTATCTTGGCCTGATTGTCAACTTAACGCAAGATGCTGACGTCGTATTCAAGTACATTCAAACTGCTGCCAAGATGAATCAAACTAAGGAAATTGAGCGTGTCGTGCGTGACAACAACGTTTACAATGGTGAAAAGGTTAAAAACTTCCTCAAGGAATTCAAGCTTGATGATCAATTGCCATTGATTATCGTTTGTGACCGTTTCAACTTCGTTCATGACTTGATTTTGTACCTCTACAAGAATCAGTTTTTCAAGTTTATTGAAGTTTATGTGCAACTGGTCAATCCTGCCAACACTCCTCAAGTTGTTGCAGGTTTGTTGGATGTCGACTGTGACGAACTGATCATCCAAGGTTTGTTACTTCTGGTACTTGGACGTGTGCCCATTGGTGAACTTGTCGCTGAAGTTGAGAAGCGTAACAGACTCAAGGTATTGTTGCCTTTCCTTGAAAAGACGTTAGAAGGTGGTAGTAACGATCGCGAGGTTTACAACGCTCTTGCCAAGATCTATATCGACTCCAACAACTCTCCGGAGAAGTTCCTTCAAGAAAACGATGTGTACGACACTCTTGTGGTTGGTAAGTACTGCGAGAAACGTGATCCCTACTTGGCCTACATCGCTTATTCCAAGGGTGGTAACAACGATGAATTGATCTCCATCACCAATGACAACAAAATGTACAAGTACCAAGCACGGTACTTGTTGCAAAAGCTGGATCCTGAATTGTGGAATCGAGTGTTAGCTGATGATGAACATGGACACCGTCGTGCTCTTACTGATCAGGTCATTCTGACTGGTATCCCCGAGCTTACTGACCCAGAACCTGTTCTGATTGTGGTGAAGGCTTTTATGGAAAATGACTTGTCCAATGATTTAATCGAATTATTAGAAAAGATCATCTTGGAACCTTCCCCCTTCAACGACAATACCTCGTTGCAGGGGCTTATGATTCTCACGGCTATCAAGGCCCAACCGCTGAGAGTCATGAACTACATTGAGAAGTTAGAAAAGTATGACCCTGAGGAAATTGCCCCCTTGTGTATTGACAACGAGTTATACGAAGAAGCTTTCGAAGTTTACGACCGTCACGAAATGCGGCAAGACGCTATGAAGGTGTTGGTCGAAGATATCATGCTGTTGGATCGTGGTGAGCAGTATGCTGAGAAATACGACACTTCTGATTTGTGGTTCCAATTGGGTAATGCCCAACTTAACGGGTTGCGTATTCCTGAAGCAATTGACCTGTACGTCAAGTCCAAGAACCCCCTGAACTACAAACAAGTTATCGAGATTGCCGAACACGCTGGCAAGCTTGAAGAACTTGTTGGCTTCTTGGACATGGCTCGCGAAACTTTACGCGAACCTGAAATTGACGGTGCTCTTATTTACGCTTATGCCAATCTTGAACGTGAAAGCGATATCGAAAAGTTTGTTGCTGGTCCGAATGTTGCAGATGCGGAAGACATTGGTGACAAGTTGTTCGAAAAGGGTAACTACGAAGCTGCCAAAATCTTATTCTCCTCTGTTTCGAAGTATTCTAAATTGGCGACTACCCTTGTTCACTTGGGTGATTATCAAGGTGCCGTTGATTGCGCTCGTAAGGCTCTGAACATCCGTGTGTGGAAGCAAGTTCACGATGCTTGTATTGAACACCGTGAGTTCCGTTTGGCTCAAATTTGTGGTCTCAACTTGATCATCGATGCTGAAGAAATGCCTGAGTTGGTTCGCAACTACGAGTACCACGGATACTTTAACGAGGTTATGGCTTTGTTCGAAAATGGTTTGCTGCTTGAGCGTGCTCACATGGGTATGTTTACCGAATTACTGATTTTGTATTCGAAGTACGCACCCGAGAAGGTAATGGAGCACCTTAAATTATTCTGGCTGCGTATAAACATTCCCAAGGTAATTGCTGCTTGTGATGCCGCTCACCTTTATCCCGAGCTCATTTTCTTGCATTGCCATTATGAAGAATGGGATAACGCCGCTTTGGCGATGATGGAACACTCGGAGGTTGCTTTCGACCACTCGTCATTCAAGGAAATCATTGTCAAGTGTCCTAATCTTGAGTTATACTACAAGGCTATCAACTTCTACATGACTGAAAACCCCTCTTTACTTACTGACTTGATGACTGTGTTGACTCCCAAGTTGGATTTGCCTCGTGTGGTACGCATGTTCGTGAAGCTGGACAACTTGCCTCTAATCAAGCTGTGGCTTATCTCTGTATTGGAGAAAAACAACTCGGTGGTAAATCTGGCTTATCACGATTTGTTGATCGAAGAAGAAGATTACAAGCTGTTGCGTCTGCTGATTGAAAATGAAGCTAACAACCGTTTCAACAAGTTGGACTTGGCTGAACGCTTGGAGAATCACGACTTGATCTTTTTCCGTCAACTTTCGGCGCTTTTGTACACCAAGGAAAAGAAATTTGCCAAGGCTATCTCCATCCTCAAAAACGACAAGTTGTGGGGCGACTTGATTCGTACTGTGGGTATTTCGCAATCGCCGAAGGTTGCCCATGATGCTTTGGACTATTTCGTCGAAACTGGTAACCACGAATGTTTTATTGCACTCCTTTACACCGCGTACGGCTTGGTCGATTACGACTACGTGATGGAACTCGGCTGGTTGCACTCGTTGGGTGACTTCACGAAGCCTTACGAGATTCTGGTTGCTCGTGAAAACCTGAACTTGTTGAAGGAATTGCGCCTGGACCTCAAGGAGCGTCAAGAGAAGGCCAAAAAGGCCGAAGATGAACCCATCATCAACACTCCTTTGATGATTACCGGTGGACCGATGTCTTACCAACCGACTGGCCAAGGTTTCGGTAACGCATTTTAAGTAGAATGTATGTTTGTATTCATTAAAAATTTAGATTTATTTCACCATCATGACTCGCATTTTGAGAACTCCTCAATAAGAAAAGACACATCGTCCTTGACAGTGCCCTTATCCTCTCTTGGAGTAACCAATGACTAGGCAATCCTGCCATGTAGAATCCAAGCAAATATCAGCAGTGGTGACCAAGTGTATTTTCCCCTAAAAACGACTGGTCGAAGTTCGCTAGGTCTTGGTTGTCGCTAAATTCTCACAAGGTACTGGGATCATTAAGTGCTATTTCAAGAGATAAAAATAGGCAAAAACTTGCCACCTCCTGAAAAAGACTTGTTGTAATCCCATAAATTTGTGGATTCATTTGAACCGTTCGATCATGAATCGGAGCGAGCTATCGTGAGCCAATACACAATACCTGGCGGATTTTTTTTTTGGCAAAGTTTTCAAAAGACCCACCATGGTGTATTCTGCATTGGGGTACGGTAAAGCGATTCCCCAACAGACATTGTTCCCGACACTTCAAGAAGGTTTGAGATTACTGACCAGTGAGCTCAAGTGCTCTATTTGTGGCAATGATATCACTATGTGCAGTATCTTGATCATTATTTTCAACTCCTTCATGGATAAATGTTGACTTCACCAACGTTCTACATTGCATTTACACGATTTTGTTGAAAGTGATTTCACGATAACTATGAAAATACTATGAAGTTGACGCAAAAACCAAACGTACGCTTTTCGTTGTAACCCCTCGCTAGTGCAACCGTTGTATATTCAAGTGTCCATGGCGAACGTCGTGTTATATTTTCAGCCTTGCTTGAAAGCACACTACAAGTGGTATTAGAAAACTTCTGTATATTTCAGGTATCAAATCGAAATTTCTCACTGGGTGAGCTAAGGGGAAATCACAAAACAAAGAGAAGCAACATCGCCGCCAACGATCTCGAGATCAACTTGGTCGACGCGCTGCCCTCAGCAATAACCGAAGGTTCGGACCCACCAGGGGTGGTGGAACCAGCAGTACTTTGAGCACCAGGAAGTGTCAATACAGTGGAACCAGAGGGTACCACATTAGACCCAGCCAAAGTATTGGCTTGGCCTTCACCGGCGGGCACATTGGGCGAGCCTTCACCTGAGCCGGAGTCGACGTTGTTTCCAGACCCGGTGTCAGTCGTCTTGGCCTCGCTTTCAAGGGTTGCGTACGTTAACACTTCACCATTTTCGTTAGTGGTGATCAAGGTGGTGTAGTGAGGAGCCACAGTAGAAGTGATCACACCGCCAGTAGAGTCGGTAGTGACTTCAACAACATGTTCAGCAGTCACGACAGCACCGTTGTCCTTAGTTTCCACAACAGCAGTAGTGTACACCGAGCACACGTCACATTCGGTAGGNTCCTTAGTTTCCACAACAGCAGTAGTGTACACCGAGCACACGTCACATTCGGTAGGCTTACCACCGATGGTGGAAGTCTTGGTGACCGCGCCACCGGTAGTGTCCGTGGTAACTTCAACAACACATTCAGCAGTAGTCACAACACCGTGTTCGTTTTCCTTAACTATGGTGGTGGTGTGGGCAGAGCACACAGGGCACTCCACGGTGGAGGTCTTGGTGACCACGCCA